CCAGTGGGGCCAGGGCACTAGAAGCCCGCCCACTGTTTTTCCCCCAAGCACCAAAAACTCTAATCTTTTAATTTCCCCTTCTTAATTGCCCACCCAGACAGCAGAAGTAGATACAGATAACCTGTCCCGTGCTTATTTTCCTCTTGCAGAGCTAATAGCAGTTTGGAGAAGGTTACTGAAATCAGGCAAATAGTATCAGGAGGAAAAGAGAATCCGTCCTGCCTGCGCACTGCTGCTCTGACGCCTCCTGCAGCTTCTCTCCACAAGAGTTGGAATATTCAGTTTCACATCCGTTGAAAAAGGTGTGCTTTATTCCTAGTAGGAAACTCCTAAGGCTTCAAAAGTTATCAGCCTCAGCGGGACAGATACAGAGTTGAAGACTCACCTTCTGTTCCCAATCCGACCAAGCTCATTCTTCAGTTGTTAGGCAGCATTGGTCTGTCCTCAGATGTCCTGCAAGTTTGTCGGTCTCTTGAGATTGCACTGCAAGGATGAGGAGAGATGCCCGAGATGAAAGTTAGTGCCAAGGAAGAGGGAAATAGGAAGAAAAAAGAGAAAACGTGGACAAAAAAAACAAATCTCCTGTCTCTTTGTGGGGAGAGTGCTGATGGTTGACATATTGTGAGCACTCGGCAAGCAGTGAATTAACCTGCATTCATAAGAAATGCAGAAACTGGAACAAATGCACTCATACAGAAATACAGCCTCCACACTCCCATCCTATAAGTATGGAACTGATTAGGTCTTGAGGAGGGGCTGTGGCTCAGTGGTAGAGCATCTGCTTGGCATGCAGGAGGTCCCAGGTTCAATCCCCAGCTTCTCCAGTTAAAAGATCTGGCGGTAGGTGATGTGAAAGTCCTCTGCCTGGAACCCTGGAGATCCACTGCCAGTCTAAGTAGACAAGACTGGCTTTCATGGACCCAGAATGTGATTCAGTATAAGGCAGCTTCCTTAGATCAAGTCTTTTTTTCTCTCTGTAGGCAGCTCGATGCGTCTGGGGACCTCAGAAGCAGAGAATGAAGGCGGGGCTCTCCTGGAATGCAGTCTCAAAATATCTTACAAAATCTCCCTCTCTCTTCAAGGCATGCAAACCCACAGTTCTTGTTGCAACCCCTACCTCAAAGACCATCTTCATTCAGGGTGCCAGGTCAACCTCAAAAGCTATTTTTGGAGAGGCTGGTGGCAAATCTTACCCTTCTCTGCTTGCAATGGTGGAAATCCCAGCAGTCTCTTTGGTAAGGGAGTGGGTTCTATTTTCGCACTTTACTGTGAATCCTGGAATATTTTATTGGCTTGTCACTGAGCCTTAGGGGAAAAGGGAGTCACAGAAGCTGTTTCCAGATCCCCATTCAGATAATTATTGCCTCCTGCTCAGAATGGAAAATGTGGATAAGGGGATACAGTCTGGAGAGACTCAACAGAAGTTCCACAAATGTACATAGTAGAGCTGATTTGCCTGATATCTCCATAAAGAGTTTGAGTATGGATGTCCACCAACCTCAGTTTTGGAGGTTTTGCTTAATGATATTCCGAGGCACTACCCTTGTGCTACCCCATACCAGAGGTCCCAGTCTCAATCTCCTTAGAGTGGGCACATTTTGGAAACGTTTTCATCCCTCTTCCCCCATTGGATTGCAGTTGGTTGGGAGT